CGCAAGAAGCGTCTCGCCTGGGCCAAGGACAAAAAGGACTGGACTGATGCTGAGTGGTCCAAAGTTATGTTTTCTGATGAAAGCAAGTTCTGCATTTCCTTTGGAAATCAAGGACCCAGAGTCTGGAGGAAGAGCGGAGAAGCACAGAATCCACGTTGCATGAGGTCCAGTGTAAAGTTTCCACCGTCAGTGATGGTGTGGGGTGCCATGTCATCTGCCGGTGTTGGCCCACTCTGTTTCCTGAGGTCCAGGGTCAATGCAGCCGTCTACCAGGAAGTTTTAGAGCACTTCATGCTTCCTGCTGCTGACCAACTTTATGGGGATGCAGACTTCACCTTTCAACAGGACTTGGCACCTGCACACAGTGCCAAAACCACCAGCACCTGGTTCAAGGACCATGGTATCCCTGTCCTTGATTGGCCAGCAAACTCGCCTGACCTTAACCCCATAGAAAATCTATGGGGTATTGTGAAGCGGAGGATGCAATACGCTAGACCCAACAATGCAGAGGAGCTGAAGACGACTATCAGAGCAACCTGGGCTCTCATAACACCTGAGCAGTGCCACAGACTGATCGAGTCCATGCCACGCCGCATTACTGCAGTTATTGAGGCAAAAGGAGCCCCGACTAAGTATTGAGTGCTATACATGCACATTCTTTTCATGTTCATTCTTTTCAGTTGGCCAACATTAGAGAAACAAACATTTTTTCATTGGCCTTTAGAATATTCTAATTTTCTGAGATACCAGATTTGATGTTTTCATTGGTTGTCACCTATAAATATCAAATTTAAATGTAATGAACATTGGAAATACATTGGTCTGTGTGCATTGCATGAATATAATGTACAAGTTTCACGTTTTGAATGGAATTACTGAAATATTTTCAACCTTTTGATGATATTCTAATTTACTGGCCAGCACCTGTATTTTTTTCAGTTTGAATAATATCAAAGGTGTAAGACACTCATTCAATCAATGACTTTGCAGTGGTATCTGGTAGGAAAGAATGCCTTGCAAGCCGTACTCAGGGCAAAAAAAAAGCCCCAGAAGCACCTTGATCAACATGGACAAGTCTGCTGCAGCACAGAGGGGCACAAAAACAGCAGGATGTGGACTCTTATTTCCTGGTATTTCTGGCCTCAGATTGGATACCAGCATCAAACCTCTACTACTGACTCAGTTTACTCTGCAACGTTTTTGTTTCATCTCCACAAACAGCACAAGCCCGGAGCAGCTTCTGCCGTGTGTTGGAGTTGCTAATGCTAACTATTAGCTTCTGCTAGCTGAGACGTTTTCTGCTGTTTGCTGGACGCTAAACCAACAGCCTTTCCCGTCACGAGCCAAGACGGATGAGTCAAAGCGGCCACTTGACACAGAGTGGTCAGACTTTTTAAATCCTAGCGTTTCACCGTCTATTTTCTATCAGAAGCTAATGCAGGAGATAGGTGTAGGAGACAATTTTCATGTTCAGCCTGCATGAAAAAATTCAGAATGATCGTTTATAATCAGAAATAATCATTAAAAAAAGATTGATTGATGTAGAAGCTACGAGCTTCAACAACAAGGGGACAAATAGAGATTTGATGTAAAAATGGAAGAACGTGCACGGGTATGACAAAACCCGTGATGTGAATCATAAAATCGTTCCCTCTGTAAGGGAAGAACAGTTGGAATGTCACAATTTTCCACACAGCAGTGACTGAGTGAACAGCTGTGCAGCACTGAACCGGGGTTAGACCGATGTGTGTGTGTGTGTGTGTGTGTGTGGGGGGGGGGGGGGGGGGGGGGTCTCCACATCTCAGCTCCTCAAGAGAAAACAGAGCAGGCTTGGAGAACTGAGGCAGGTCTCAAAAAGACGGGCAGCCCAAGACAAACACATCCCACTGTGGGTCTGACGTGTTATTGTAAGGTCACTTGTAGGGTCACCCTCCACCACCACCCCCATCATGTGTGCTTTCTTTGGCCAAAAGGGTGGAACGCAGCAGCAGGGTCCAGTCTCATCAGCCGCTATTTAACACCAAGCAGCTGTCAATTAAGGAAAATCTGGTATTCATACGTCTGGTAAACGGTGCGAGTCAGCCTTGAGAAAGGCCCAGAGTCGATTATCATCTGAATGGCGATGGCCCCGACGCCTCAGTGTGCACTTTGTGAGCGGCTCCACGGCTGAAGGTTAACAGCAGCACAAGGAATCCAATTTAACTGAACGCAAATCCATTCAGCCGGCAGGAAGAGTGTGTGTGGTCTGAAAACACGCCCAGAGCCAAACGCCCAAACAAACTAATGAGCACTGCACACACACACACACTCAAACACACACACACACACACACATGGGAAATTCTTTTAAAAATGTAAAAGGGCCATTGATCATTAACATACAGCTGAGAGTGATGACGGGATGTTAGAAATCTAGTGGAAGAGCCGGCTGAAGTTGCTCTGGGGGTTTTTATGACACAGCTAAAGTAAACACCGACCGACCTCCATCAGGACTACTTATCACAGCTACAGCCTTTTCCTTTCTTTGCCCCATGGAGGGGTGAAGTCTGACACATTCCTCTGTCCAAATGTTTCCTCCTGAAGTGACAGGGTCGGCGGTGCGTGCTGAAAGACGTGGACTGTTGTGGCAACTTTACTTCTGCCATAAAAGCTGAAAGACCGTACCGGGAGGGATATTATTTCCACCTGGAGTTTGTTTTAAATCGCTCTGAATTTCTCATTATTGTGACTTTCCTCCTTTTTAAAATGGTGCACATATTTAGTAAAGCAGCGCTTGTTCTCTCCTCTCACGCACTTGCAGCACCTCTGCAAAAAGGAGTCTAATAGCTGGCAAGTAAGGGCAGTGTGCAAGGATCAGGAGTTGTTTAAAATTAATTACTGCTGCTCTGTCCAACCTGAAGGGACCACCACACGTAATAATCACGCCATTGTTCTTTGTAAATGGGCGAAAGCTCAGTAAATATGGAGCTGAGAGGAGGCGGGTGGGAGTAAAGGTCAGTCGTGCCTCGTTTTAACAACGGCACATTAAGTTAACTCGCTTCCTTAGGCTTTACGCGGGTGGTAAAAGAGAGGAAACGCAGCGAGTGATGACGGACATGGATGCACTAAGATTTAGTTGTTCCTAGCATCTAAAAACTGCTAAATTTTGTAATTCTTTCCTGTTTGGGCTGAAAGGCGAGATCACCACCATTACACCGTTAACCAGCAGATATTTAAAGAAATAAAAGGTCTTATTGTTGCTGAGAAACGAGGCTCGTTGCAGAAAACAGCAGCCTTGTTATTTTAAAAGCCTTTGGCACATTTATCTCACGGTACCTCCTGGTTATATGACGCAACTCCCGTATAAAACGCACACTTTCCACAGAACAGCGTGGAACCTTCTAAAGCTCCTCAGGAAGGTGATGGGAGAGCCGCTAACAGAGGCACCTGGTGACGCCATGCATCCAAGCTGCTGCATTCCTCAGTTAGTGGAGCCCAGTGGTACCGGACCATTGTCACCACATCAGAGGTTCTGCTGGAAACCATCATGGAGCACCTTCTGCAGCTGCACCAGAAGGGGAGGAGGGAGGGAGCAGGAACCACGGAAGTGTGGAAGTTCCAGGGAGTTGTAGCAGTAAAGATGGAGCCCCACACAGTGTGTGTGTGTGTGTGTGTGTGTGTTTGGGGCTCCCTGTGTCAGATATCACTTGATGGCTGACAGCGACAGGCTCACACCCTTTCTGTCGTCTTAGGTGCACGGTCTGAAACATTTAGACGACAGCAGCGACGCTCCTGAGGTGTTTTCACCGCCGCACGCGTAGGATAAAGACAGGATGTCCTTTACAGTTTCATTTACATTTGTCAAAGATGTCATCATCCATAGTTAAACTTTATAGGGACGGTTTTACAGCCCCGCTGGCCTTTCGATTCCCTATAAAAACACAAGTCAGAGCCTCCTGGCTGCATCCGAGCTGTAACACAGAACCCACTGTATTCCTGCTCCTGCTGGAACAACCGAGAGTTTTTACTGTAGATTGTCAAGCATCACTTTTTATCATTGACGCTCTCCAGACTGCATATCTGCTTCGTGCTCATCTGGTTGAGCATCTGTAACCACTTAAAGGGGAAGCTATGAAAAACAGCTCGTGATAAATTCTTCCTTTTATCCGAGTCGGTTCGGACCCACTGGAACACGGCTCTCCACCATCCCACCGCCTCCTGGAGTCCTCCTCCGCTGACATGTGTTAATGTGTAAACATGTCTGATCTGATTTAGCCTCCCAAGTCTTGTTTACTTTTGATTTAGTCGCGCCGCGAAGGCACGGCTGCTGCACTGTGAATGAGGCATTGTCTGCAGACCCACAGATCTAATCTCACCCCCCCGATCAACTCCTGCCCCATCCACCTTAAGCCAGGATCGACACATGCAGGTAAACTGCACTGCTGACTGCTCTGCCAGAGCGTTTTATTCTGTCAGATTTCTCTCATTAGCGCTGTAGTGGTTTAAAGTCGCCGACATCGAATGAATCAGGCGCAGGTTGGTGGATGAAATCATAGAAATGAGCTCTTGACAAGCTCACTGCTCCATGGCGAATCATGAACTGGTTCTGGTCGGATAGAGGAGTCCAGCTGTGTCATGGAACGGGATGAGGTGGTGAGGTGAGACCGTCTCTCAGCCAGCCGCAGGAGGGCTGGACTCTCGTCCTCTGATGGATGCTTTAGCTGCACGCTCACACAGCGGCGACTGAGAAGTCACTGGGGATGGGGGTTGGCCTGCCCGCTCTCCCTTCCTTTACTCCATGTTGGTTTTGGGCTCTGCTTGGAATTTTCTTTTTGGGGGGTTGCTTTTTTAAGTTTGAACTTTTTCCGTCCCTTACGTCTCCACGAGAGAACTCGACTGAAACTTTCTTTATGCTCACAGGAAACTCGCCAGTCAACCTGGTTTTTAATGAGTTACGAGGTTTCCTTCCATGTTTTCATGCAACAACAACAAAAAAAGAGGCATTTACGAAGCAATCCTCACCTCTTACACAGTCGGTCAGTAAGGCAGCCTCAAACATGAACAGCACAATCTTCAGGATGTCCATATTCATATTCCATAAATCTAGAAAAGACACATGGGGACACAGTGGTCACTATATAGGACAGCTGAAGGTATGCTTGTATGAAACCCACAAACAGTGCATTAAGAGTTATCATAGCATGAATACCAAAATCCGTTTTGGTGGCCTAAGGACCGAGTCTCTGCTTTATGCAGATGATGTGGTCCTGTTGGCATCATCAGAACGTGATCTCCAACTCTCACTGGAAAGGTTTGTAGCCGAGTGTGAAGCAGCTGGGATGAGAATCAGCTCCTCTAACGCCGAGACCATGGTCTTGAGTCAGAAAACGGTCTTCTCCGGGTCAAGAATGAGGTCCTGCCTCAAGTGGAGGAGCTTAAGTATCTCTGGGTCTTATTCACGAGTGAGGGAAAGCTGGAGCGGGAGATCGACTGGCTGATTGGTGCTGCATCTGCAGTGATGCAGGCGTTGTGCCGATCTGTCGTGATGAAGAGAGAGCTGTGCCGGATGGTAAAGCTCTCGATTTACTGGTTGATCTTCGTTCCAACCCTCACTTACAGTTGCGAGCTTTGGGTAGTGACCGAAAGAATGAGATTGTGGATTCAAGAGGCCGAAATGAGTTCTCTCCGCTGCTGCTCCTCCACATCAAGAGGAGCCAGTTGAGGTGGCTCGGGCGTCTGATTAGGATGCCTCCCTGGTGTGGTTTACCAGGCACGTCCAACCGGGAGAAGACCTACAGGAACACGCTGGAGGGACTGTGTTTCTTGGCTGGCCAAGGAACGCCTTAGGATTCCCCCAGAGGAGCTGGCCCAAGTGGCTTTGGAGAGGGAAGTCTGGGTTGCTTCTGCAACCTGACTCCGGATGAGCGAATGAAAATGAAGTAAGAAAAATAATCTCATAACAGTTTTAATATTTTTTGTCCAGTCAAAGTCAGAATCTGTTGTCTAATTGAGAAATCTTTTGAAATGTACATAAAGACATTCAAAAATATTTCAATATTCCAAAATCTAATTCAAGAACCTCTTAAGATCTCAACAGTGTATTTTACTGCAATGATTCACACACATGAACAGTGAGTGCACATCTGCTTAAAACGAGTATTGTCCCGTATGTTATTATAACTCAAGCACGCTGAAAACCTTCAAAACGTCACAATATGAATTCAAGGATTTCAAGCACCAATAAGAACCTGTAAGTCAGCAGGGAAAGAGTTTACCTCACGTGTGCATTAGAACAACACACGACGGATTTTTGCTGTTTATTTAGAAAACTGAGTGCAAGCTGACTTTAGACATTTTGGTATGAATAAGGCAGCCTCGGTGCAACAAAGAGTAAAGCTGGAATAAAACCGACCTGGAGATTGAAAGAAAGAAGTCAGTCTTGTTTGAGCCTCTTGGCAGAAAAGCTTTCCGCTGAAGTCTGAATCGAGTCCATGAATCTGAAGTGACAGCGGACGATTTTCCACCGACCTCCAGCTTCTTCTCTGCGCGCTTCCACAAAATAACGGGATTCAAGAGTGAAACCGGGATTTTATTTAAGTTTGAATTAAGTAAATATTCGTAACCCAGCCCGCTCTGTACCGCGTCCTCCTCCTCGTCCAAATGACTTCTGCTCTTCTATTTTTTTATTGCGCACTCAGCGGAGACTTGTTGACCGTCCCAGAGCTGCTGCTGCGGGCCAATCACAGCCAGCAGAGGCCGCCGGACACCATTAACTCTTCACCACACAGACCTCTTTATGTCCAGCAGGCTCTCACAGCTGTCCGCCTGATGTCCGAGGAAACAAACATCTGCACAACATCACCGCGAATTTATTCCTAAACTAAAGCAATTCTCCACGAAACAGGGAAAAAACTGTAAAACTCGGAGGGAAATTCTTAACTTTTACATGTTCGACTTACTAAAGACAAAATCTTTATAATCCGCTGAAAATGCTTTTAAAAAGACAAAAAACGGTTTATATTCTTGTTCACCGACTGATAAGTGCCTACTTAAGAAAGCGCTAGCGTGTGCTGCCCTCTGCTGGCTGCTCTAGGGACCTGCAGTTGATTCTTATTGGGTTGTATCCGGTTGTATCAGTTTGTGTTCTGTTTGTTTGGACATGAATGAATGAATGAATGCTATTTGATCCCCATTATAAAGTATAAGCTGCAGCTATGCAGGCCTACGTAAATTATTTGTATTTGTAGAAAAACCTTAATAAATGATCAGTTTGATACAAAACGAGACCACGTTTGGTAAGATTTTATCAAAACTACCTTTTGCAAAACGCCTCATGTCCTAATATGCTGTCACATGAGCTAAACTGATTTTAGGGCACCGTAAACTGTTTTTATTAAGCTACTTGACGTTGAGATTTGAAGCTTTCTGGCAATGCAGGACATCCAACTTCGTAGACAACTGACGTGCTTTTAAAATGTACGTTTTGGCAATTTAACGTAAATTATCACACAACAAAACCTTTTCTCGTTTCTTTAGTCCATGCGAAACTCAGTATTTTTTGTTTTGTTTGTACTTTTAAAGACACAGTCCAAAATGGGTACATTTCAAGCTAGAGTATGCTGTAAAATAGTAGAAACAAGACCAGTAAAAGGTTTGAGAAGTAGAAATTAAGGCCTAAAAACTATCTACAGCAGAAAATCAGCACGGGAAATTTTAGCTGACGTGCAGCCACCAAAAAGCCTTAAGAAAAAAACAGAAAAGGTTTAGTTTTGCCAAAATAAAAAGAAATTGACAGGAAACGGGCTGAGAGCGATGAGAAACTGGTCTACAGTATAGTTGTGTATGGTCAGAAAAAAATAATTATATTTAAAAAAAATAAAGAACCACATTCCCCCTTTGGATGATAAAACATATAAAAATATCGGTTTTTGTAATCTATAAATGTCACTGTTTAGAACATGTAATGTGTGGACAGACTGGTACATAACAGCTAAACCTCCTCTCTAATGACTTCTTCTGTGGCATCTGTAGAGAAAAAAATAAAACACCCAGTCGACATTTTAAACAGAAAAAAAAACATTTATTTCAATATACATCGCATTTAAAACTATATAACATTTGTTGGATATTTTACACAGCTCTTATTATGGAAATGAACTTGAGTTTTACAAAATAAGACCAAGCTCTGAAATAACATTAGAACATCTCACCCTTTTATTACTGCATGATTTCATTAGTGTTCTTTATGAAAGAAAATCCATAACGCCTCAAAGCAAGTTTGCACATTTTCTTTTAGCCTCTCCTTTACGTCTACACTGAAACAGTAGGCGTGAGTTAGAGCCCATGATGCCCGAGCGGCTGCTTCAAGTCGGAGCAGAACGGAGAAAATTAAATATTTCAACGCTGTAAGGACACATATTAGCCGCTTTAGAGCATTAAGATGTACAAAGTGATCTCGTCTAACTGTGGAAGATACTTTGTGGTCAGTGCCGAAGCAGAAAAGGAAGAAGACATGTTTCTGTGCATCAGCAGAACTGACAGGGAATTTAGCAGGAACACAAATGTGTTCTCCGGAGAGACTTAACTAATAAAAACGTCTCTTAAGTGTGCAGGAGCATTGCAGTTAGCAGTAATACTGCACAATCACATTGATGAGGAAGAGAAAATCATCGGGAAACATTTGTGTAACCTGAGAGGGCCTCTGGTCCGAATTAGTGACAGCAGGTGTAGAAAACCTATCAGTGACACTTTTTCACCTGGAGATGGGACTCCTCTTACAAAGTGCTTTAAAATTCCACCTTAATGACCTTAAAAAAATCATAAATGAATATCATACAAATGTCTGTTACAGTTTAGCGTAGATGGAATGCTGAAGATTCCTTTCAAATTCCCATTTCTAGACCATCTTATACACCTGGTAGCTGGGACTTACATTCTTTTTGAGCGATCTGAGTGTTTTGGTAGCACAAATATGCGGGAAGCTCTATTAAAGCATAAAAAAAAAGCTGAATAAGAAGAAGTGGTCTATTCCGATTTAGTGATGGAAACCGCAAATAAAAGGAATCTGCTGCACGACGTCGCTGTCCGCTCATCCCATCTCTCTTTTTGCACCTCGACATTCATTCTTCTGAGAATCACCAATGTTGGGGCTGTTGCAGAAAAACACTTACAGAGCCACTGACCCATCAGCACTTCCTCTCGTGTCTGGACTTCCTGCTGCAACGTTCTTCAGAAGCCATGCTCAGTAGGTACAATCATGGCCGTTAAGGTTTACCGGAGCAGCGTTGTTTGCTTTGTACACAGCAGTGAATCTGTCTGTTGCATATGCTCTGGTGGCAGCTCGTGTGTGTGTGTTGCAGGTGACTGGCTCAGATGCCGGGCCTGTCGCTGTAGAAAGGCGTGACATGAAACATGTAGCAGTGGGTGCACACCCTGACAGGTTTAACCTGACCGTATCGAGGCAACGGAGCAGAATGAGACGAGCAGCGAGAACAGAAGATCTGTAATGAGGAATTAGTAGTCAGTGATACTGATCACAAACTTTTTTAAATGCATGTTGAGGTCACACCTTTCCACAGCTCCTACAGTGATGCTTCCGGCGAATGACCGTAAAGGGAGCCTTGCAGGCGATGCAGGAATTGCAGGCATCATCAGGGACCCAGTCTGGAGGGTCTGCACAGAGAGTAACAGTAAAGACACGGCCGAGCCGTCACCAGCTGAGCATTTGATGAAAGAAATTTAAAAAGTATGAGGACAGGCTGACAACGGCAACATGTGTGGATGTGCTGACCTTCGAACTGCCCCTCTCGGGCTTTGGCTGCCAGTTCTGATGATGAAATGGTCTCCTGACACAAAGCACAGTCTTCCAGCACCGCACTGGGTAGAGCCGGACCTGCTGGAGACCACAAAGGAACAAACATAAACCACTGAACCAAATAAAAATCATTTTTATGTGTCTGAAAAAGCTAGACTGATCAAAAATTAGGGCCAAATTAGGGATAAGTGTGTGGACTATCAGATGCAACCATCCTTGCTCTCACAATCTGATTTAGAAATCCCGACAAAATAAGACTTTAACAAGAGAAATGTGAGCTTTACAGTTCTCACCTTTCTTTTGCTTATCATTTTCTCCTTGATCACACTTGGTTGCCATGACTTCAAAAAGAGTCTTGAGGATGCTACGAAGGTCACTGGCGTAGTTGGTCTGCAGCTGATCGGCGACGCCTGCATCACACACAAAGGATTTTCCTCCAAGAGATGCAAAGGCATGCGACTAGAGAGTGAAAACTCCCGTTTTTACCTGATATGCAAACGAAAAGACGGTGGATGAGGTCGCTGCTGCTGTGAAAACGGGACCGGATCTTGTTCCTCGCTGCCACCTTTGCGTTGTGCAGGGCTAGCTTGACCTCCTGGTGCTCCAGGTCCTCCGACATCCCGGAGCTGGGAGTTAGACTGCTGACGGGACTGCATGGAGACAGGAAGTACAAATGTCTCTCAGCACGAATCTCATCAGTCAATTTAAATAAATAATGATCACAACGATCAGCAACTATTAAGTCTAAAAATTGAGCAAATTTTTAATGAAAAACATAAATCTCAAGAAACTTGCTGTTAATATGAAACATTCAACCACTAAGATGGAATAAAATTATAAAAACTGTGCATAAAAATAAAAATAAATGTCGGGCACGTGGATGAATGCTGTTACCTGGGAGTGTATGCACTGCTTGATAGACTACATGTGGTTACCGACACACTCTCACAGTCACTACCTGACACAGAGCTGAGGGGAGAGTTCTGAAAACTAAAAACAAATAAATAAAAAAAAAGATAAATAAATAGGCAAGTTTTAAATTAACTTAATGGCAAAACAAATACAGGAAATGAAACTGAAATATTAAACCAATCAAATAAAAATATGGAAAAAATTTCTGCCAAAAAAAAAAAAAAGAAACATTTAAATTAGATCCCTCAAGTGAAGTAAACTCCTAAAACAAACCTGGAACTTCTCCTGCTGTCCTCTTTGGTGTCTCGTTTAAATTCCTTGTTCTCTAGCTTGTCGTTGTCCACCTCCTTGTCCCTCTGTCGACCTCCGCTGGCATGTGTCCTCTTTTCAGTCCTCTGCTGGTGGCTGCACACGGAGGCCCCCCCTGTTCTAGGGCTGCAGTCCTGAGAGAGATGTCCCTGTCCTGGAGTCACCGCCAGGCACTTTTCACAGAGCGGGGAATGTGAATCCTCTCCTAGCGGTTCTCCAGAGCAACGGGAAGAAGGTGGCGTCAGCTGAGCGACCTCGCCCTTGCTGTAAGGTTCACACAGAGGAAGCTGGCAGGCAGAGGACTGGATAACAGTGCTGGAGGCCGGGGTTTTACGATGCTTGTCCAGTCCCAGAGCGAGGCCCAGTCCGAGTCCTGCCGTCTCTGGGGTGAGGATGTCCTCGTGCGCGTCCTCGCAGCTCCTACAGCACACACAGGAGTTGAGCAGGCAGTGAGTGGCCACCAGGGGGCCACAGGGCTCAATCTCAGAGGGAGCTGGGCGAGACAGCAGCAGCTTGTCCACCGCTAGTTCCGTCAAGCTGGGGGAGCGAGGGTTGAAGATGACAGTAGCAGACAGCTTCATCCCTCCCATGCGGTGGGCGATGACCTCAGCGGTTTCGGACGCCGTCCCTTCTAAACCCATCTCCCACCCATTGCTGTAAGGCAGAGGTTCAGAGCAAGGGGCGGGGGTGCATGGAGGGTGCTTTGCAACAGGACGGCGTGTGTTCAGGCCGTGTGGCTGTGGACAAGGCTGCTCGGATGTGGTCTCAGGGTACCAACCGTTCTGAGCGGTGTTAGGCTGTGTTTTGGACTTGTGCTGAACAGGAAGTGTGGACGCTTTAGGAGGAGGGACAACACAATGGCAGGCAGTGATGCCGTCACCTGTTGCATCAAGATCCTCCATGAAGAAGACCCTGTCCTCCTCTTCGACATAGATACCTGTCCTTCCCTGGCTCCCCAGGACCCTGCGGGGGGAAGCCTCGATGCTGGAAGTGCCACTGGTGCCCCCAGGCTCTCTGCTGGAACGATGGACTGGAGACTGTCCCTGGCTGGGAGGGGACAGCAGCATAGACATTTCGTCCCCCACACGATACACCATCATGTTGAGCTGCTCTAGTTCCTCCTCATCGTACTGCATGGAGCAGGCCAGCTCAGCCTCCTCCGCCTCCTCACAGAACAGGCCCTCTTCCTGCTCTTCCTCCCCCCTTTGGGTTTCCACCTCCTCCCAACCTTTTTCTACTCCTGCCAACTCCTCCTCATCGGGAGAGACAAACACAGGCATTCGTTCCTCCTCCCCCTCCCCCTCCTCTAATGAGGTATCATTAGCAAGACTGCAGGATGAGCGATTCTCCTGGACTTGCGCTGGTATGCTGTTTGTGGCCAGCCCCTGGCCTGTGGACAACTCTCCTTCCTGAGAAATGCACAGGTTCCTCTCCAGCGTGATCAGCTCCTCCTCAGTGAGAGTCTGCAGGAGATCTCTGCAAATGACATTAGAAGGTAGCTGCAGTAAAAGCTAAAGAAACTGGAATCGTCTTCATAAACCTTCACAGATTTTACCTTATTTTCTTCAGTAAAGTGCGAAATGGCCTGAAGAGCTCGGACATGTCCTCAGCTTTCCGGTCAAGGTTAAGAGGTCCCTCAGAATACACAATAAGCCCACTGAAACACATGTTTGGTCTTCTATAAGAGGAGCGTTGAAAAGAGAAGAGGGGAAAAAAGCAGTGCAAAGACAAGAGCCACTCACCACACAATGGCTAGTCTGGGGATTGTAAACATCAGTGCAGGTTCATAGTCATCAATCATGTCTTGAGTGAGATAGCTCAACTTTAGAGCCCTGAGGAAGCAAAGAGAAGAAGGCCTCATTAGAAAACAAACATAAACCTAAGTAGATGCATGGGCTCATGTAAAAGGATGATGCTAATGTTAATTTACCTCTCCACAGTCTCACAAAAGAGCACAATCACCTCCTGTTGTACATAGTATTCTTTGGGAGACTTTACAGGCACCATGGCGGACACGTAGCTGCCAAAAAAAAAAGTTATTACAAAAATAAAATTTATTACAATTGAAAACAGCTCTTTGAGTCTCTATATAGCATATACCAACTTTGTTGAGGCTCAAAATGGCCCAGGAGCTTAGCGGATGGAAAATGCTATCCCATAATAAATAGAAAGAATAGTTTACCACGCCTACCCAGCCAGGACATGAATATTAAATGATTTACGTGCCAATAGGCTGGAGAACACTGAAGGCTTTATGACACTGCCTGAAGCTAGTACCTTTGTGCACACCCGTGTACTGTAGTCAGATAACTCAAACGGCAAGCTAGGGATCTAGCATTGCTTCAAAGCCTGGATATTCCAAGTATATCTTGGAATGTTAAATGTGTGCTCCAACATTCTACTTTCCCGTTTTCTTCTCGTCCAACAAGGATGTTAGCAGTAGCTCAGGCTAGCATTAGCTGGGCTAGCATTGTTTTGCAGTTAGCATTACTGCCATCAACGATTAGATATCAACTTTGACGAGGGTTGGGACATGCTTATGTCTATGTTGTGTTATACCAAATTTTCTCATTTGCATAGGAAAGCAGGTCGGAAACATCACAGATGTTTTGCTATTGGACATTAGACACCCCAAGCTGCCCATCTTCAACAACAACAAAGTAAATGTGGTTTTGATTTCCAAGACCCCCTTAAGAAGAGCCTGGATTCTGGTTTACCTGAGCTCAAACTCGGCAAAAAGGCTGTCGAAATGTCGTAACGCCTCCTTCATGCGGTCGGTGTACAAGTTAAGGTCTCTGAGTGCCTGGTCTCTGGTGATGCTGCGTACCTCCTCCAGGCTGCGAGTCAGATCTTTAGCTAGAGGTCTCATAGCTATGCTCTCTATCTCCCGATTCATGATGATGGAGCCTGCAGCCAAACACTGAACAGGAGCGTTAACGTTATCGTCTTAATCTGTGACTGACACCTGATAATAAACAGCACAAGGTTCAAACGGAAATATAATAATTAACTTTATGGACAGAAGTTGTGTGAGGTTGTTTGTTTCCAGACCGGTGCAGGAGGGAATACGCTACCTCAGCTCCAAACCACAGCTGCCCTGCCAAGTTGTCATGACGAATCTCTTCAGGGAATTTGACACAAAAGTCTCTGTTGGCCCGGTCGTTGGGGATACATTCATCCATGATCTGACTGATAATGTTCAACACGTTGTCCTGCAGGCAAAAATAAAAACAACAAATCGGATTAACTCATCAGAAAGATGAATATGGCAGTTTTGTTTAACTTTATTTAATAATCTGCCAGTCAGCTCGTGAAGAAGATGGGTTCAGTTGCTAAAGCAGACAATTCCAGCAGTAAAAACACGTCACACACAAAACATGAGCAAACCAAAAGCTTATGCGCTGACTTGCCGACTAGCCTTTTGCTCAATCACAGCCGTGCTGCACTGTGATCTTGTCAGGAAAAAGAACCACACCTTTCTCTGGTCGCCCCACAGGAAGAAGTTAAAAACACTTATTCCTTTAGGGCAGCATGCTGAACATGTGTCCAGGCTGGAGGGTGACTCCTTCCACCAAACACCAGGGGTCCGTTTCACCTGTAAAGTCTGCAGGCTCTTTCCAGCCTATTCCCATAATACTTTGCTAAAGTTGTTTTTTTCTTTTTGTTTTTAAAATATTTGGTAAATCTGTGGCAAGTACAGTAATTTTTTTTAAATATGTCAAATTTAAAATGGAAATAGTCTACAGCACAACATTTATGAAATTAGAACAAGTTTGGGGATCTGTATTTAGACTAAATGAACCCAAAAACAGAGATGAGCTGTCACACACGTTTTCTTGTGATTTTAGTTAAAACGCTGGATCTTAAGAACAACTTTCCAGGCTTCCTGAGTGACATTTTAAAAGCTTACCCTTAAAGGATGTGTATGTTGTCCACATCTTTAATAAGATGATGTCACACTGATTTAAAAGTAGTTGTGCAGGTTTCTCTGTGCAGCTATGCTTTTACAGCCCAGGCTGCACGTTTGGAGTCGTTATTATATCTAAAATTAAAGCTGATCTCATGCAAATTACTCCCAAAAAGAAGGCATGTACAGTTTATTTCTGTCTATAGTTCAGCTCTTATACATTTTAGCATACTTCAGCTTTTTCCCTCCTGATTTTTACTTCATATGAACAACTTTTTGACAGAAATCTTTACTCAGACAATTTCAGTGAAAAGCAGGCTGATCAATTAAAAGATGAGGCGTCTCTCACAGGATCTGTCTTAGCCGACGCAGAATCTGTGCTAAAGGACGTCATTTTCAGAACCGTTTACCTCCGTAGTTTTTTTAGTCTTGCAAATTCTCCATTTTTCAAGTTTTCCCAAGATTTTAGTCCGCCATAAACAGCTTGCATACCCAGTGACTCTTATAATAGCTTTTTTTGATGGTAATTAAAAAATTCTTAAATGTAAATTAAGGAAACTAACCACAATTTCATTTAATATAGAATGTTTATAACAAGCAATTGAGTTTCCTCCGTAGGGTGGCCGGGCTCAGCCTTAGAGATAGGGTGAGGAGCTCCGGCATTCGGGAGGGACTCGGAGTAGAACCGCTGCTCCTCCGGATCGAAAGGAGCCAGTTGAGGTGGTTTGGGCATCTGGTCAGGATGCCTCCTGGGCGCCTCACTGAGGAGGTGTTTCGGGCATGTCCTGCCGGCAGGAGGCCCCCGGGTCGACCCAGGACACGTTGGAGAGGTTACATCTCCAATCTGGTCTGGGAACGCCTTGGGGTCCTGCCGGAGGAGCTGGTGGAGGTGGCCAGGGAGAGGACGGTCTGGAGCTCCCTAATTGGGATGCTGCCCCTGCGACCCGGACCTGGATAAGCGGAGGAAGACGATGACGATTTTTGTAACAAAGATGCAATAAAAATAGATTTATTGTTAAGTTTGCACGCAGCAGTGGTCCAGCAATAGATCAGTAATAAGCGGTTTAAAACGACAGATTTGTACAAAAATTGACTGAAAATATGTATAAATAAATGAATTTATGTCTACAGATAATGAGATCTGAAGTCGAGCGGTAGATTCAAGCACAATTTTTGACTCAATTCTTCCTTTTGAGGCGTCATGCTGCTTAATTTATGGTCCAAACCCACTCCATGCAGGCAAGCCGTTACAAAAGGGTAAATAACATATATGGAGCAGTTTTCTTTGCAGTTTGAAAGTGGATGTGGCAATAAGAGGGTGGCTTACTTCCAGGTACTACAAAGAATAAAATAAGAATGACTGAAAAGGGAAACATGGCGACAGCTCAGCAGAAGGAAGAGGCAGAACAGCTGGGGATGGAGCCGTGACCTTATTAAGTGCTTCCTGCTGGTGGGTGGGAGCTGAAGCACACCAGTCCAGATACAAACCTCCCCACTGCCTCCATAGCATCACCTGCCAAAACCCCTGGTTCAGATGCTCACCTCCCTGTAATGCTAAAGCTCACATTTGACCAAATTATTAATCATATTCTATAAATAATCCGGTTGTTGGAGGATTTGTTCTTGTGTCGTTTTCCAAAAGCCTGAATGACTCAGCTCTGATAAAAGTAATCGGAGGACTTCCAAACAAAGTCGAGTCATCTCACCTCATCAGCAGAGGAGCTTCACGCAGGAATTCAGCCGAGCAACGTTTAGTAAAGCATCGTGCCTCAATGCAGGAAGGAATAACAAGAGTGCTTGCTATTTTTAGTTTTGGGACCAAATCAAGGTCCGATTGTGTGATTGTGTGAATGAAAGGGAACTAAAACACAACCAGGCAATTGTGGCTTACAGTGAAACACAAGCTGAGGGTTAATTTGCCAGCTTTGCTCCACTTAGAGGCCTATTTTTATGCACCGTACACAAAGGAAGATGATCTGGGTACTGACCTGACAGGATCGGAACTGGTTGACCAGCAGGGTGCATCTCTGAGGGTCCTTCCTGCCATCAAGGCTGTCCAGCTCAGTGGCCACCTGATTAAGCTCTTCATCTGCGTAGTAGAACTGGGCCAGGAGCTGAGGGTCCGTCCTCTGTGCAGAGATACAAACACACATGAGGGGCTCGTCTTCATTATCGCTGTGGATGAGTCAAACTCCAACATTAAAGACTTTTCATGTTTACTATTGTTGTTCAGCGCTTTGTGAGAATTTCTATTTATAGACAAAACGGTGGGTTGGTTCTTCGGCTGTAGACACAAAACGTTTCCTGCAACGACGACCTAACTTTAGATCTCGAAGCAGCACAATGTTTACAGAGGAAACAATGCTTTTTCCATGACGCAAAACAAAGGACAAGGCAGGACGAACCCAGAAATAACTAGAGCAGAAACGCTAGAAAATTAGGATTTAATGAGGTAAATGACTAAACTCAGACTCATTAAGCTTAACGATATTTTTAGGGGTGTCCCTTGAATCAGCTGTCAGCGTGAGTGGGATTTATATAGATGCTTGATGATTTCAACATGACCGGTGGAAATTACCAACACTAATTTATGGGACAATCAACAAACCAAAATGAACGTATCCATCCGTAAAACACTTGAACATCCTGGGAAGGGCAGGCGTTAACCGAAAGGTTAATGCTCCTGGAAATGGCAACCGCATGCCGGAGTGCATCATCACAACACACACACGGTTCCTGTAAAGACACAGGAGCTTTAAAGAACATCACGGCCACGTGCAGCAGGAGCAGGAGGAGGGAGCGAGCCTCATCTCCTTGTTTTATTGGTTTGGCGCTTGTGCTTTTGTTCTTTCATAAGAGCTGGAGACAACATAATGCTTAAATTCTCCAGAACCTCTTCACGGTCCTTTTCCCTGAAGTTTGCAGCGTTTTCTGTAGCGTGACGCTTCCCTCCCCCAAGACCTTCGGTTTTCTCTGTGAATATGATCCGCGGTGCGCTTCCCTCAAAGCCGCTCATTAATAATGAAACAAACAGAAAGGAGAAAACACAGAGATACACCCAACAGCTGAATTTCATTTTTGTGAGGAGAAAAACTCGACCTAAGACGCATCTGTGCAAAAAAAGCCTGTGAGTCATACCTTTAGTGTTTCTCATCATTAAATCTGTTTTGGGTCAATCACGAGAAGAACGTGAGTTTTTTGTTTCGCAGGCATGAATCAAAGACAGATGAGGCGAGTTTGGTTCAGCAGCTCTAAAACAGAGCAGACTGGATTTTGCTTTTTTTTTTTTGCTCTGAGAAGACGCTCTGTGGGTTAAGTTCTTGTAATTAGCCTCATGAAACTCAAGGTTACTTCCCAGCCCTCACCTCAATCACACCAGATGACCAAGTCTCTGAAATGTTCTAAATGTAAAAAAAGGGACTGTGTGATTTTTCCCATCATTGTGTTCGTCACTGATTAGAAGGAAGCAAAGAGAAGCAGGCTAATGGGACATCTGTACATCTTTTGTATCTTCATTCTGTGCGTTTCTTCTGAATGCATTTTTTTTACCACAGGAAAGGTTTTTTTTTTTACCTTGCTGACAGTTTCGACCACTCCTGCGGTCTTCATCAGAGCTAGCCGCTAATGTCTGAGTCACTTCCTTCTCCGTTTACCCGTGAGCAGCAGAGGACGGATGCATCCTCTGCTGCTTGCGCTCTTCTCACCGATGACAGTCCCATGAACGATCTGATGCGTAAACCCCATCGTCTCTGTTCATGGTTCCACGCCCACGTCTACTTATGGCTTCCTTAATCCAAATTTTATATTTCTGTTGTTCGGTGTTTATGACCCTTGTGTTGTCCCAGTCCATTTAGTTACGACTGATTTCTCATTGTACTTTCTGCTTCTTGTTTTGCTGCTCTTGTGTGTCTTCGGCTTGTTTCTTTCTCACACACTTTTCAGTTTTATTGTTTGTGTATTGAGTTGGCATCAAGTTTCTCCTGTTTATGTTTTACTGCAGAGTTTGCATGGGATTTCGTAAATGACTCCACACGTATGTCCTGCTGATATCTTGCCCTTTGGGTGTACTACTCTTTTTCTAACTGTAGAATTTGGATTTTGTTGGTGTTTTTACACTGCTGCTCTTATTTGTCCTGATATGGCTTTGATAAAGACCACAGGAGTGGCCAAAACGGTCATCATGGTAAAAAAAAAAAACCTTTCCTATGGAAATCTGTACAGTCCTAATTATCCATAAAACCAAACCAACCACAAGAGGAGCTTTTACCTTACGTCTACATTTAACCCCTCAGAAGCTGTGACAATTCCGAGTTAGGAGTTCGATTTCACAGAACGGCTCAACAAAGACTGAATGTATCATAGTGAATAAATGCCATGAAACAGGAAACAGGAGTGGGAGACAGCACAAATTCTTTTTTTTTTCTATTGCAGCCCACAGACTGATGGTATTCAGCTGGAGGAATATAAAGCTGGCATGGATGAAGAAAGACAAGAGGCATCCTATAGTCTCCCACTGCTGTATTCCTCATGAGAGGAAACATTCCTGCAGAATTGGATCATAGGGAAAAGTGAAAGACGGGCAATGTTCCCCGCATGCAGATGCAGTTTCAGACTGATGCTTTTTGGTGATCACTGACCACGTGTTTCAATAGGAGGGAATATCTTCTGGAGTACATGTCTGATTTACCCTAATTTCCGACACTCAGAAGAAGCCTGTCGCACCGGCTGTTCATCCTTGGCCTAGCTAAGGAAACAAAGTAAAAGACACACATTCATTCTTTATGAGGAGAGTATTTGCACCAAGTGACAGAGAGGGTCATTTCAGAGAATTCAAAAACACAATTTTCTTCTTCTTGTTGAATACTGGCAGCCTGGTGTGTCTAATGTAGCATACCAGAAAGTCTGTGCCATCTCCAACCTGCTTTCCTATGTAAATTAGTAATGTTGTCATCTATTCTGGACGTGCCCGAAACAACAGAGACACTAGTTGTCCATTTTTCATGCACTCTCCAGGATTTGAGGGACCCTTTGCTCTCTCTGAAGTGGTTACGGTTGCCTTTTGCTGCTTATTGACTAAAAGGTTTATATTGTCCAGATGGAAAGACTCCCATCCGCCAGTCTATGGTCACTGGGTCTACCAAATCATGGTAAATGGCCTGTATTTGATATAAAGCCTTCTAGAGTCCTGCAACACCCCCCCCAAGGCGCTTTACAACACAATCAGTCATTCACACACTGGTGAGGTTGGGCGATGATGTAGCTACAGCTGCCCTGGGGCGCACTGACAGAAGAAAGGATGCCGAGCTCTGGTGCCACTTGTCCCTCTGAACCCCCCTTGCCTTCTGGTGGTGGTAAGTGTCTTTCCCAAGGACACAATGACAGTGACAAATTAAGTGGGGCTCAAACCTGCAACCTTCTGATTATGGAAAATATGAAAGAATTAGGCACAAATTGACTTACACCTGCATGTCCCAACCAACTTTGTGGCCACAGTAATGTAACCGCAGAGCAACACTAGCCTGAGTTACTGCTACTGGTAGCCCGGCCTACTGCTGATGCTAGCCCAAGCGACTGCCAGCACCCTTCTTGGCTGAGAAGAAATCAACAAAGAACGTCAGAGAACACATGTATCGTTTCAGAATGTCCTGGGAACATCCAGATTTTGGATCAATGTCAGATAGATCCACAGTTTACCTACCGAGTTATCTGCATACTGTACACGCTTGTACATAGAGGCCATCAGGTGAACTGGCCAATTGGCATGCAGCAAATTTAATATTCATCTCCTGGCTGATTGGGTGGGGTAAACCAGGCTTTCCATTTTATGGCTTTATTATGTATTTGTAGTTGGTTATTTATCAGGGCACCAGGGCCATTTGAGCCCCAATGAAATTTCATAGAGGCTCAAAGAACAGTTTGCAATTATTCCAATATGGCACTTGACTAAAATAACACAATGTAAACCATCCTGCTTACCTACTTAATTAGTTTTGACTGATTTTAATGGATCATTTTATTTCTGGGGCTGAGAAATCCAGAAATAATATACATAACTGGTCTCAGTTGGTCACTGATCTATGGCCTCTGCTGATTATAATTACCTTTATGAGGAATGAGCTGGTGATGAGGTTAGATGCTGCTCTCAAAAGCAAAACAGGGAAGCCGTCTTTTGAAACGTAATAACACGCTGTAGGCTGGCACGCAGTAGGAAAAAAGAGATTTGCTAAGAAGCTAACAAAGGCACGGCTACAACTCTGGACTAAATTGAAATATTTCACAAACATAGGGATGAGGATGAAGGATCTGAGTCTCAAACATTCAGGATGCGTCAGTGACGGCTGGACCGTGCATTAGAGGTGCAATGACTCAGCAGATTCAGCTATTGTCTGCTGTGGCATGCCCATCCCCTATTGTCAGCTGTCATGGATGACCTCTCTCTCTGAATCTCCCTCTCTATGGTCACAAACCTCTCATTTCAGAACACCAACATCCCACAGGTTAGTCCAGGGTGACAATTACTCATAAGCTCACCTCAATAACATCAACTCACCATGACTCGGTCAGATTTTGACCCCTTTTTGTTACAGATCAAGCGATGATGGGGTGACTCTTACTAAAATGTGTTACAGAAAGTGGCCTGCTGCCGTATGATCAAAACTGTCATCATGTCAGCGTCCGATCCTGAGCTTCATTTCTATTCAGGCTGCACAGACGATGACGGCTCTCAGGCTAATGCTTCCTGAGCGTCCGCTGCAACAGTGCACACATAGCGAGCCAACTTAAGGGACTTGTGAGGAATCTTGCCTCTGCCCTCCATACGCTATTCCAGGCTCAATTTGCAGAGTTCTGGCTGCCTTCCAGGGATCAGAAGAAAAATTTGTAGCTAGTTATCTGTGTTTTCATTCAGTCTACCGGCTAAAATCAGACAACCGGGTACAGTTCAACACTTTTTTAATTTTCAGAAATAGGCTGCATAAAAGCCACTGCGGGTGAGCTGATGGTGGTAGTGAATGAAGCACCGTTACAATCGTCTATATCAGGTCTGACAGAGCAAAAAGTCTAAGCTTTCAGAGAATGTGAGCGTTAGCTGGAGCATATCTACTTGTGTTGAGTCATTCCTTTCATGATC